TGAGGCATCGACCAGCGTGCTCAAACGCGTAGCCTCCGCCATCCAGATGCCACCACCCACCCAGCGAGAACAAGGCAGAACCAAATTTGGGAACCCTCTTGCATTGTGTGAGTCGGTATGCGGTGCCATGAACGTGTTGCGATGCAGCGAGACAGCGTTGAATCTGTGATTGTAGCAGCAGCCGCGCACAACAGCCACTAGCAGGCGTACAGTCCATGGAAAGGCACGTGTACACTTGAGGACGCCACCCAGGCCACCTTGCACGAATGCGCCTACCGAAAACGAAGCCATGGCTCCTGAGCTTACGTCACCGCTGGCGCATTTGCGCTTAAGGCCGGCACAGGCACCATCAAGCAGCTCCAGCAAGGTACTGAAATCACACATGTCCAAATGGCCTCTCCGTAGCATTCGCATCGAGAAAAGCTCTGCCTGATGGGCTGGCATATCCTCCATAGGGAAAGGTACAGGGTCCAGCACATATGTGTGCGCCGCATCCGGGACATTCCAGGCACTGGGCAGGCACGCACTTGCCTGCTGATACGTGACTTCAAGAGTGACATGAGGCATGACAGCACCCTGAGAGGCAGGATGCAAAAGCATTGGATCCTGATGAGCACAAGTCCCATGGGCCACTGAATCCGTAGGTGACACTTCCTCCGCACACTCCTCTGCTACAGCCTCCTCATCAGACTCCCCGACCATAACCAACACCCAAAATTGACGGCAGCTCTAACCGCCACAACTCTTCATCAACCCCCGGTGGGATTAGCGGCTCCCCATCCTCACCAAACTGGATACCATGGAACATGCTGCGCTATTGAGCATGCAAAACTGCAGGGAAAAGCTCACCAACCGCATCGCTCGCCTTGCGTAACATGACCAGATAAGCTCTCTCCAGAACCCTATCCGCAGCGCACACTTTCGCAGGCCGCTTGTTGTCATCGGTAATGCACATGTCCCCCGCATTGAAGAGCACCGCGCGGTAATGGCCTGAGGTAGGCACTGCTCCCACATGGGTGATAAAAGAAACCACGCTGCAGGGCTGCCACTGCACCACTGAATC